TTTGAACAACTTGAAGACAGCTTTTTCAGATAGTAATGAAGAGTGTGACATGTAATGAAGGATCTAGGTAGTCAATTATTTCTTTTTATGTAAACTGTTAGTTAACTCAAGTTGTCAAAAATTTTTAAGAAAAAAATTGATGACAAGCTGACATAAGAACGCAAGGAAACATTTAAGGTAATCGCATAGTATTATTGTACACAAAAAGCTGTCACATAATCGTTGGAATCTACAAAATACAATTAAAAGCTATAAGCCAGGTTAAATCCAGTGAAAAGCAAATTGGTTTAGTGTATTCCTGGCTTGAACTTCATTTTCTATAGTTTGGTTTGTTTTTACGAGTTGATCACGGATTGATATCATTTAGAGAAGCATTGAAAGCCAGCCACAGGGAGTACTGGACAGCTGTTTCATCCTAGTTTGGGAATAATTGGCAGTACGCACCCACCACAGTGGGGTTCGGACCCAGGACCTTCCGGTTACAAGGCCAGCAAGCTCGTATACCATTCAGCCACTGGGACTCGATTCAATGGCTCATTAATTCTAAATTCTACTAATTCGCGATTTAGCGCGACCCCAACAATTGTCGTCGGTGGGACATCTATCGTCACACATGACATCTGGATGGACCTCACTGGTCACGATTTCTCACTAGAACTCCAGGAAACTCCATCCTGTAGCAAGTCATTAGCGAGCATCAGATTAATTCTTCATAGTTTGGTTTGTAAGGAGTTAATTACTGGAACAGGTTATTTTTTCTCTCAATCTTCTGCCTCCTCAGCGGGAAATAGGACTTTAATTTTGAGACCTTGAAGTTCAAGCAGTAGTGGTGTTTATCTTTTTACAGGGTGAAGTCGCTAGCATCATGCCCAAGCTTCTCTCCTTTCCGGGTTTACTCCCATCTAAGCGAGCTTTAGGAATGTGGCCACCGGGAACAAAACCTGGACTACATTTAGTGATGGTGAACTTTCTAGGGGTGAACCATCGACGTGCAGACAGTGGTTAGGAGCCACACAAATACATTTATTGTGTGAAAGCTGATAATACTATCCAGTTAAGTTGACTAATTTGAAGAAGACGGAGTTTGAGATTCGAACCCCAAGACCCATTACTAGCTAAGCGTCGAGTTCTTAAGCCAAAATATATGATATGCCAAGTGTCCTCAATTCGGAGAACAACAACAAACTCTACTCATTCATACCTTCACAGTTAAAAGTCTCCTCTTCTATTATTTCATCACAATCAGACGTTGGTTTAATCATCGGTTGGAGGATTTCATCATGAGCTGATATCAGTTAGAGAACCACTGGAAGGTGTAGTCTTCCTGACAGGTTGAGATCCTGGGGACGATAAATCCAATGCAGGCTGGAGACAATCGGTGATATAGCTCAAAATCTTCGTTGTCAATGGCTAGCGCAGATGCATCCACTCCTTGTGACTTATAATACCCAATGAAACTGCATTGCTCTTCGTTATTATTATTCCTTTTGTTTGATTGGATGGAGGATTTCATCATGAGCTGGCATCAGTTAGAGAACCACTGGAAAACCTGGGAGTACTGGACAGCTGTTTCCTTTTTCCTAGTTTGAGACTCTTTATCAGTACGCACCCACACCATGACGGTCGAACCCAGGACCTTCTGGTTACAAGGCGAGCTAGCTCGTCACTGGGACCCAAACCAATGACCAGCCCATGAATTCTAACTTCTTCCAATTCACGAAACAGATGTCCAGTACACCGAGCTGGTTTTCGAGTGATTCTCTAACTGATATCAGCTCATGATGAAATCCTTCATCTAATCAAACAAAATCCCTACAAAACCAGTACTTGAATATATATATGAATCCTTCGAAGTGAGGACAGGAGTAAGACAAGGCTGCCTACTATCGCCAATGATTTTCCTGATTGCAGTAGATTGGATAATGCGACAAACAGCGGGTAATGAGGAAACAGACATAAAATGGACCCACATAAAAAACTTGGAGGATCTGGACTTCGCCGATGATATATGTCTGATTTCCCACAAACTGGAAGATATGCAAGTGAAAAGCAACAAGTTGGCAGAAGAAGAGTTCAGAGTAGATAGGACTTCAGGTGAACATGGAGAAAACAGAGGTGAGGAAGATTCTCGGCTAGCAGCAACAACAACAGACAGCAATCAGAATGAATGGGAGGAATCTGAAAGAAACAACCTCCTTTACCAACCTGGGAAGCATCATTTCAACTACGGGCGGAAATGATGAGGATATCAAAGCAAGAATCGGGAAAGCAAGACAAGCTTTCACTACTCTCAAGTCTGTGTGGAGGTCAACAACACTACTCAGCATCAAAAGTAAGATCCGGATTTTCAACTCCAATGTGAAGTCATTGCTACCTACTATATGGATCAGAGACTTGGCCAGCGCATCAAGAAAGCCACTTTGAACAAACAATAAACCTTCGTCAACAGCTGTCTTCGCTCAATACTACTCAAATTCAGATGGCCAGAAAAGATCAACAACAGAGATCTCTAGCAATGAGCGAACCAACTCAGCAGGAACCGAGTGTGCAACAAATATGCAGGAAGAAATGGAGACGGATTGGCTGGCCATACTCGGAGGAAACCATCAATTGACATCACTAGACAAGCCATTGCTCGAGTGAAACCCGAAAGGGAAGCGGCGAGTCGGTCGTCAGTGCAAGGGTGACTTGGAGAAGGAGGTCATGTGAAGAGGAGATGAAAACGTGTGGGCAAACTTGGAGTCAGGTGAAAACGTTAGCAGAGAACCGAACGCAATGGAGACGCACGGCTGAAGCCCTATGTTCCTCGACTTGGCAGTGAGGATTTTAACCCTACATAAAATCACATAATCACAACTGAAAATACAAAAATACAACTATGCATTACCAGATAAGCATTGAATGTGAATCCATTTAGTAAGACAGAGAATATCTACACTATCATTTATCATGTTCCCTATCATAGATATAGACAATTGAATGTATACACGTGTATGTGACTACTACTCTACTGCTCTGTGTGCGCATATGCGTGTGTTCATGTGTGTTACTATAGTAATGGACCTCACTAAGGTGAGTACTCTTCTTCTAGTAAATAATAATAATAATAATAAGACGAACTACTACTATTACTCATTTAGAAAAAGATTATTTCCTGATTGGATGGAAGAAACTTGCCTACTAAAACTCTTTCTTTTTTCACAAACAGATACACAAACACACGCACACACAAACACAGATACAAATGCATATATACACATATTAGACATAGTGATTATTTCTATTTTCATTCTTCTCTAAGCTACTTTTAATCTAATTTAGAGTATATAACACACGTAGAGCGCATACATATGTTGTATCCCATGTGAGATGTAATCATAGACAAATCCTTTCCGTTGCACTTTTCTCTCCTTACTCTCTCTCTCTCTCTCTCTATATATATATATATATATATATATAATTGTATGCATGAGCTATTTTTAAGTTAGTTTCTGTAAGGAACTAGTATATTAGTGGATGAAGGTGTATTAGACAAACACATACCTAATTTATGTACACACATACTACAATATTAGGCATCCATTTATTATATAGATGAACTGATTAGAGGCTGCATAAAACTCAAAAATATCTCGAAAAGCTGTTTTTTTTTTATGCATTCAGCCCAAAGGCTTAAACTCTCGCTTTACAGTTGACGATGTCAATGATAGGATCAGAATAAAATAAGAAGAAAAAAGAAAAAAAATATCTCCATTACTTTATGATCACTGTGGAAATCTATTGTAATCAGAGGATTTGAATTCATTTCAATACTGCCTGTCTGTTTTCAGCATAGAACTTTGCACTGATGTGTAACAGTTCAAGTCGCCACACTCCCTCCTCGTAGCAAACAAAGCAAGAGAAGAAATGCATAATAGAGACAGTAGACAGGGATATGAAACAAAAGTTGCGTACTGATGAAGAGTCCCAAACTAGGAAGGGGAAAATAGCTGTCCAGTACTCCCAGGTGGTTTTCCAGTCGTTCTCTAACTGATGTCAGCTCATGATGAAATCCTCCATCCAATGAAACAAAAGAAATAGTAATAACGAAGAACAATATAGTTTCATTGGAAATCATAAGTCACAAGGAGTGGATGCATCTGCGCCAGCTGTTGAAAACGATTTTGAGCTATATCACCGATTGTCCCCAACTTCCATTGGTTTTTACCATCCCGAGGAACCCATCCAGTTAGGAAGTTTACACCTTCCTACGTAGTTGACTTAAACTAACTGTTGTGGATTTCATTGACTGGTGCCATGTTTCCCTTTGACCGGCGCTAGCTCTTTTCCAGCCTGGCCCTATATCAGCTAACATTGCCCGTCGACGAAGGCGATGACTAGGCATACGTAACACATGTCCTAACCATCTTAATTGCTGCAAATTTACAGCCTCGTCTATTGATTTCCCCGCCTTACCTAGCACTCGACGCTTACCTCAATATTGCTCACCTTATTATACCACTTCACACGGGAGATAGAACGCAGAAACCTGTGATCGAAGATAGCTAATCTTTTCACGTCTTCCGCTCTCAATGGCCAGGTCTCACAGCCATAAAGGCGGACGGAGTGGACTGTTGAGCAGTACACACACCCTTTGGTCGATAGTCGGATATCACGTCTACGCCAGAGACGGCGTAAACTGGCATATGCAAAACTAGCCCTCTGTATTCGTACTGAGTTTTCGTCAGAGGTCAACCCGTTGAGGCTGATGGTACTTCCCAAGTAATTGAAGCGGTCAACGTGATCTACCACTTCACTTCCTATTTCTAATCTAGGAGTCGGTGTAGTCCAATCCTGCAGCATCATCTTATATTTTGCAGGGGCGAGTCGCATGCCAAACATACTAAGATTGATAGTTAACATTCAGTCAAGTCAGCAAGCAGACTAAGAAATCATGAAGATAGCTACCTACAGTATAAATATTATACAAGTGTGCTTCAGTAATTTATAAAAACACTTACCGATAACTGTAATCATCCACATCATTATTACAGTGAAGATACCAATCCATACACATGACATGAAGAAAGACACCCAATGCGAAGCTGGAATTTGTCTCCATCTGGCTTTGCGTACATCAGGAACAGTCAAGCAGAGAACACAACGTAATGGCCATAGGAAAAGACAAAAAGCATATCGAATTTTACCGCGTACACCTTCACGACTAGGTAATTTCAATGGAGCAAAGCATGTATCATACCAAGATTCAACAGCGTCATCACCTGAACGGATTTGTGTCTCTACATCATTTAATGCATCGTTGTGTTGTGGCTGTTGACGTTGACCAACCATATTATCAGCGATTGGATTTCCTGTCACACAAATTGAAAATTAAATAATAAAAAAATATATTCATCAAAAAGTATATTCAGTCAGAGTGTGGTGAGTGCTACTGATAAGATTTATCAGTAGTATATAAAGAGACGTTCATCGGCATAAAAACATCAAATAGGTAGGAGATACATTTGATGTCAGAGAAGGCGAATAATATAGCGTTGTGGAGAAAGATACATGGGAGACGTAACAGAAACACATTATGAAGGCCAGAAGTACCACAACACGAAGATCTGTGCAACTTGTGCGTTTAAGATAAGGCCTCCGACAGCGTAGACCGAGAAGTAATTTAGAAACTACTTCAACACTACGGCGTGCAGTGCCCAAGTCTTTATCAACCTCATTCAACAACTGGCTGGCTATAAGACAATGCCACGTATCAGGTGATCCACAACGGAAAACTCAGTGAGGCGTTCGAAGTGCATACAGGAGTAAGACAAGGCTGCCTATTATCACCGATGATATTCTTAATTGTGGTGGACTGGATTATGCGTCAGACTGTGGGGAGCGAGGAGTCAGGAACACGCTGGACCACCAATAAGAAGATTCTAGAAGATCTGCATTTTGCAGATGATATATGTCTAATGTCACATAAACTCGAAGACGTGCAGGCGAAAACCAACAAACTGGCTGAAGAGGCAGCGAAAACAGGACTGCAGGTGAACACAGAGAAGACGGAGATGATGAAGATAACCAATCAACAGCAACAACAACCAGCACCAATCACCATCAACGGGAGAGATTTAACAGAGGTTGCGTCCTTCACTTATCTGGGAAGCATCGTTTCAACTACAGGCACGGAACGGACGAAGATGTCAAAGTCAGCCAGAATCGGAAAGGCAAGATACGCCTTCATCAACCTGAAACCAGTTTGGAAATGTTCTGCACATCAGCATAAAGAACAAGATTCGCATTTTCAACACCAATGTAAAGTCAGTCAGTCCTTCTATACGAGTCAGAAACATGGCGGGCGTGTCACGAAAAGGATTTCCAACAGGTTGCAGATTTTCATCAACAGCTGCCCACTTCGCTGGCTGGCTAGCTCCATACTGAAGATCAAATGGCCGGCCAGCCAGAAAGAATTAGCAGCAAGAAACTCTGGCTGGGAACAAACCGAAGAACCGATTGCTCAACAAATATGTAGGATAAAATGGAGATAGATCGGGCATACATTGAGGAGGCCACCGAATGAGATCTCACACCATGCCATCGCTCGAGTGGAATCCCAATGGGAAGCGACAAGTTGGTCGTCAATGCTAGGGTGACATGGAGGAGATCGTGTGAGGAAGAGATGAGAGATTATGGTCAATCGTGGAAGCCAGCTGAAGAGGACGGCAGAAAACAGAATAAAGTGGAGATGTGTTGTTGACGCCCTATGTTCCACTCGGAACGCAAGGGAATAATAATAATAATACATAATTTTGCTATATAGAGATACCAAGTCTTTCGTCTTCCGCCATTTCAATAGTAACATACGCACATACACATTTTGAGCCACTTCAGTGTGTGTGTGTGTGTGTTTATAAATCCACTTACTCCTGTGAAGCTAGGCATATTGGCCGCACAAACTGCACACTTTCCAAACACATGTCTGAGCAAGATGACAATATTTGTAAGATAATTACTAGCTAGGTCAATTCTCCCCGCGAGTACTTAATGAATGCAAACCACACAACTTCATAAGAGTCGTCTTTTAGTATTATCTACAAGGTGAGATTGTATGGTATAAGGGGGGGGTTAGGTTTCCACGTTTGTGTATGACAAAGATGCTGGCGACTTGTCGATACTTGTTTTTATTGTAAAATAGGTGTCAAGGTTAACAAAAAAACAATTGGCATAGAAAGCAGTCGTTTTTCGCAGAGATGAGGTCTTAACATAAAACACAAAAGAATAGTTGGAGTTTTCTTACTTTTTAAATAATAATAAAATATAATAACATAAACAGTCTCATTTGACTGACCAATACCCCTTATTTATAATTTTAAAGGCTTTATTGATATTACTTTTATGATTCAGTATGTATGAACGAAGTAGTTTGACTTCAAATGAAGTTAATAGTCTGCCGTAATCTGTATTTATCGAAGTTTCACGGTTCACTTATATATATTTTTTTCAAGCCATTTGGGTATGTATACGTTCGCCTGGTGTGCGTTGGTAGTTCGGTGGTAGGGCGCTGGCCGGCCATGCACGTGGTCCGGGGTTCGAGTCCCGGTCGGCGCACTCCTTTACCTGCCTTAGCTAGACAAGGAGGGAAGGTTGGGCGTGAGGCTAGCTACCCCACCCCGTAAAAACACCACTGCTACCGAAACTTCAAAGCTAAAGCTTGAAGCCCTATGTTCCACTGGGGACGTAAAGGAATAAAACACAAAACGTTCGCCTGTGCTCAGGTGCAAAGCGCAATTATTCCCGCCTATGTATGTGTGACGACACTTGAGTGATGTTCAAATGTGTGGTGAAACATGTTTTCGGCTTTTTCCATAATTACAAGACGCACTGCATAGAAGGTTCTACGAATGATCCAGTTTAGCCTCTGTTTTAAAATCCCACTGCTTATTTCCTCATTGTAAAGTAGTTTTTTATCCTTCACGTTCCCCAGTGGAACATAGGGCTTCAAGCTAGAGGCTTGAAGTTTCTGTAGCAGTTTTAATTTTACAGGATGGAGTTGCTAGCCCCATGCCCAACCTTTCCTCTTCACCAGCATTATTTCTGGCTTAGCGAGGTAAAGGAGTGCGTCGGCGGGGGATCGAACCCCGGACCATGTGCATTGTTGGCGAGCGTCCTAACCGCTATGCCACCGACGCAGTAGTAGTTGCAGCAGTAGTTTGATGCAGACATTATTGATTCTTTGAGACCGAACAGACTGTAGGCTTTGAAATTAACTGACCCTCTTCTACACCGGTTCAAAAACTTCAAAGGATATCAGCCTTCAACAAGTGTATTCATCATACTGAAATACACAGTGAGGCGATACTTTATTTACTAGGAGATGAAACTTCCAGAAAGAAAGAAAGACATCGGAGATAAAAGAAACAAAAGACTGTAATATTGTTGTTGTATGTGTGGTTCAGTTGTAGAATACTTGAAAACCAGGCAGGTTTTCCAGGCCCGATTTCCAGCTGATTCACTCCTAAACGTAGCTCAATTGACTAACTGATAGTAAGCATGAGAAAAAGGGAAGGCTGTAGGGTGTGAGACTAGCAACCCTACTCAGTAAAAGCAACACCACCGAGACTAAAGCATCTAGCTATGACGCTTGAAGCCCTATAGTCCACTCAAAAAGCAAAAAGGAGAAAATACTACAGTTAAAAGGACACACAACTACACTGATTATTGATTAACTTCAAGACATACTCTAATGAATCCCTAACTATTGATTTAGACTGTCTAGTGCTTCTGTATAGCTCAAACTAAAAACCAAACACTCAAAAGCCTTACTTTGCTCACTTCACACTTTCTCAAAAAAACTGATTCTAATTCATTTAGCAAAGCATTTAATAAAGGCGATCGTTTGCTATCGATGAACCACTCTATAATTATTCATATGGGTATCTGTTAAAACTACCTATCCTGGAATTGTTCACAGATGCACACAAAATGTTTAAGAACCAGGATGTTACATATCACACATCATCAACAGCTGCCTTCGCTCAATACTACTCAAGATCAAATGGCCGGCCAGAAAAGATCAGCAACAGTGAGGGATCTCTGACAATGAGCGAACCAACCCAGCAGGAACCAATTGTGCAACAAATATGCAGGAAGAAATGGAGGTAGGTGGATTGGAGGCCATACTCTGAGAAAACAGAGAATCAAATGACATCACAAGACAGGTCATCACTCGAGTGGAGCCCGAACGGTAAGTGGCGAGTTGGTCGTCAGTGTGAGGGTGACATGGAGTGGAGGAGGTGATGTGAAGAGGAGATGAAAGCATGTGGGCAGACGTGGAGCCAGGTGATGAAAACGTTGGCAGAGAACCGAACGCAATGAAGACGTGGGCGGCTGAAGCCCTATGTTCCTCTAGGAACTAAAGGAAACAATAATAATAATAACAATACATATCACACAAATGCGCACACACAAACGCACACTTTATAAATTTCTCAACTGACTGCCAACCGCATCCAGGACATAAGTACGTCAGCAGCTGAGTAGTAGGATACTCGGCAACCAAGCTGTAAGTGGTCCGGTATAGAGAGAAGGTTGAGCGTGAGCCTAACGATCTCACTACTACTGAAACTTCAAACGTTGAGCTTAAAGTCATATATTCGACTTGGAACACCAAGAATTCAAACAAAATCAATCCAGGATAAACAGAATGTTCTCACGCCATGCATTTACACGGTAAGTAAGTAAACTAACCTGTCTTCTCTGTAAAGTAATCATCTTCCTCTTCCTCAAAACGCTTATAACTAGCATGAACACTTTTCACCTGAGTAACTTCATGATCAATAATTCCAACATTTGAAGGTGTTAATGATTTATTATCAATAATTATTGATGAATGTCCAAATGCACCAGTACGTTGTTGAATTAAATCGTGTTCTTCTTGATCAGTGTGTAGTGCACGTGGACAACAGGTTGGATGTTCACGGCACCATACACGCCAAAATGCATCAACCCGTGGATTGTAGTACATTAGTAATACATACAAACAGTAAACTATAATAAGTACTGTTGATTCATACCTTAAATATGTTTGAATGAAAAAAAAACAATAAATAGGAGAATGAGAAAAACTTTTAGCCTTTAGCGTTAATCATTATTCATATATATAAGAGATTATGTTATACATTAAATACAAACAAATACGGCTGACTGCATACAGAATATCGCTCAATTATTTCAAATACACTGACTGGGTGAGTGTATTTCATCCACTTTGAACTTTCCCGTTGATTGAATAGATTGATGTGCTCAGCAGCCTCAGGTACATCCAGTTGACGAGTTTCAAATAGGACGAAACGCGCATCCTGGATTTCACTGCTAGTCACCATCCAGCAATTTACACATGGTGAATGTTTGAATAGTCTAATAACATCCCTTTTACCTGCAGACAACCCAACCATTTTTTCTTCATTATCTAATTTTAAATTATCTAATCTGTATGTTTTAGTTCATAAGAATTTGTTAGTCTAGATTTTGAGTGACTTTTAAGGGGATTTAATACCATGGCTAAATATTTAGATAATTCATAAGTAGGTGAATTTCTAAAATCAACTATAGGTCTAATAGGGTATCCTGACTTATGAAATTTAACAATACCTTACATCCTACTGGGGTTATTAGTTTTGGGCATTAAAGTAAACCACTTAGACTCACCTAGAAACGGCTTCATTCGGTGTATAAGGTCCGCTGTGGATTTCTTAACTTTATTCATGACGGTGTCTATTGATTTATTAATTTCCTCATATGGTCCTGTTTGTATGTGAGTATTCACCTTGTCCAAATAGTCTGATTTGTCTAATACTACTGTTGCATTTCCTTTGACTTTGTGATTACTATATCCTTGTTATTCTTAAGGTGTTTCAAGGCTTCTATCTCTGGTTTTGTCAGGTTAGGCTTTCCACGTTTTTGTCGTTTTAATGTAAGTGCACATTGTGCCCGTACTTCGTCAGCCGTTGTTTTGTCTATCTCACTTAGTGCTATTTTTATTATAGGGATGACATCCTCAGGTTTCAGCTTGTCTACCGCTACATTGAAATTTAGTCCCTTTTCTAATACACTTATTTCTGTAGGAATTAATATATGTGTTGAGAGATTGATAACCCACTTTGTTTTATCGATCACCGTTGACTTTAGATTGTTGACTTCATCGTTCTGAGATGAAGATTTCTCCTCTAATAATTTATTGAACTTTTTGATTTGAGTATTTTTTGACTTTTTGAAAGTTGCTGATTTGGCATTGCTAGAGGACTGTGTTATAAGACCATAATCCACATTGGTAACTATTCCCATTAGCTTTTGTTTTAACTGCTGCTCAATTTCATATCTGATATGTTGCAACTTTTTAACAATTCGGTGGATCTCTTCTTTTAGGCATAATTTTTGCAGATTTTCTATTCTGCTTCTAACTCTGTCCTTTGGAACTGGAGCTCGTAGACGTAGGTATTCAGGAATGACTTCATATTTTAAGCATCGAATGTTGAAAATACGATGATTTTCATATCTTGCTTCAGTTTGCGAAAGTCAAGCGAGTTTATTGATAAGTCTTCGTACAGGAAGACCATAAGTCATATTAATATATGTTACTACCACAGTGCCCAAGTTTTACACATATATTAACCCGACACAAGTTTGAAAATTTTGAGTTTGTCATTGAAAATGTTAATTTTTCATGTCAGCCTGAGTAGTCAATTGCTCCTCCAACCCACTTCCTTCTTATATTTTCTTTTTTTTGTTACTTACCTTCAGTTAGTGTGTCTGTATACATATGTAGCCATTATATGTTACTATTTTTTCGGAATTTTTAATATATTTGTGCGTTGAAGTTTCTGTAGCAATTTGGTTAAGTTTTGGGGGTGGAGTTGCTAGCACCACGCCACAACCCTCCCTCTTTATCCGGGCTTGGGACCGGCTAGAAAACTAGTGAGCTAGTAATCTAGGCGAGGTGTTGGACTGGATTATGCGTCAGACAGTGGGAAACGAGAAGACAGGGATATCCTGGACCGACGTGAAGAACCTAGAAGACCTGGATTTCGCGGATGATTAATGTTTGATATCACAGAAGATCGAAGACTTACAAGCGAAAACCGACAAACTGGTCAAAGAAGCAGCAAAGACAGGACTCCAGGTGAACATAGACAAGACGGAGGTTATGAAAATAACCAATCAACAACAACAACAGCAGCAGCAACATCCAGTGCCAATCACCATCAACGGGAGGGATTTGAAAGAGGTTACTTCATTCACTTATCTAGGGAGCATTGTCTCAACTACAGGAGGAACGGACGAGGATGTCAAATCCAGAATCGGGAAGGCGAGAAACACATTCATCAACCTGAAACCAATCTGGAAATCTTCGTCACTCAGCCTGCATCAACAACAAAATTCGGATTTTCAATACAAACGTCAAGTGAGTCAGTTCTTCTATACGGATCAGAAACTTGGCGGGTCACAAAGAATATTTCCAACAGCCTGTTGCAGACCTTTATCAACAGCTGTCTTCGTTCTATACTCAAGATCAGATGGCCGGAAAGAATCACCAACAAGAAACTATGGGGACAAACAAAACAAGAACCAATCGCCCAACAAATATGCAGGAGAAAGTGGAGATGGATTGGACACTCGCTGAGGAGGCCGCTGGGTGACATCGCGCGTCAGGCCATCGAGTGCAACCCGAAAGGGAAGCGGCGAGTGGGACGTCCAAGGGTGACATGGAGGAGATCGTGTGAAGAGGAACTGAAACAGTATGGATTAACATGGACGCAGGTGAAAAGTACAGCAGAAGACAGAAGCAAGTGGAGACGTGTAGTTGAAGCCCTATGTTCCACTAGGAACCCAAGGGAACAATAATAATAATAATTTTTTCGGAAACAGACTAACTTTGATGAATTTTCTTATTTTGCTATATTCATTTTGCACTTCGAGTGGAACATGAGGCTTCAAGTATTGAAGTTTCAGTACCAGTGGTGGATAAGTGAGGTTTAGGAGTGCGTCAGCCGGGCGTCGAGCTGCGGACCACTTGAGGCGTGAGTGATGAGCATTCTACAGCTAAACGACTGTTTCGGCGATTATTATTATTGTTATTATTATTATTATTGTGTCTGATAAAAATGCACCTTTGACAATCCTTTGTAAACTGGAAACGTTTCACGGAAGATGGTTTTACTTATTTGATGTTTGAACCCTACTCTACCTTACTTTACTTTTTACTTTACTTCGGCTATCTCCTACGGGAGGATGAGCCGGCTTCATGATCATCTCGAATAAGAGAGTTCATGAAGTTTCATGGGAATTTGGTACGAGTGATGTCCCCAGAATCGATCGGCCTTTTGTTTGAGAGTGCAGCTCTAGCCTTTACACAACCAAGTGTGACCTACAAGGCAGTAGGAGTGGAGTAGGGAGTCCACTATCCATTGGCAGCCGGTGACCGGAGTTCGGTTCATACGCCTTTTTTGAATGGGGCCAGACATCCAACAAGCCCTTTGTCCATACGTCTGCCGGTGAGCTCCAGTGAGCTTCATACGCCAGTCGTTGGAGGTTTGGAATCAGGGTTTAGCCATCTCCTCTAGACTGTCATCCAATGGACAGTCAACCCGGTGAAGAGCGCCGGGCATCCGCTTTCGCCCTCTCACTTTGGTGAAAAAACACCTCCGCCACGTGAAGGCAGTGAGTAGGACTTCCTCAGGAGAGGCTATGTAAGACGCCCGGTCATATGGGAGCATTTCAAGAGGTGTGTGGAGGGGTGGCCAACCAGCAGCGCAAGGCACCCAACCCCGACCATCCTGAGGCTTTGGAGGCCTACTCTACCTGGGACAGATCATTCATCATGTATTAGGCTAACAGCCACCCACACTTATCTTGTGAGCGCTAATAATACTATCCAGTTGCCCAGGCTGAAGTAGGTGGTGTAGGACTCGAACTCATGGCCCATTGGCTGCAAATTAGGCTCTTAATTGAATATACCGCATCTCCATGGTTTTATCATTACACTAATAATTTGACTTTAGTGCAATATACAAAAAAAATAAATCTCAATGGGTAATATTACTGTCTTGAGATTATTGTGAGCCATCGAATTCCGCTCTTGTCACTACCGCCAACCATCTGAGATGCTAGGGGTTTAACCAATTGACCGGAGAGGGATTTTTCACAGACACAGAGTATGCTCAAACAAAACAGCTGTTGCTCATTAGCATTGTTGGTATTTAATGGTTGATTGAGTGATAAGCACAACATTTATGAAGTAAAATACGAATACCGCTCTGTTGTATAACAATTTCACAAAATTCAAAGCGTTTTAGAGAGCCTATAAAGTATTTTCAGTTAGATATGTAATTTTATTATAGTGTTATTTTCAAATCAGTAGTATAGTCGAATCACAGTAATATGAATCAGCTGACTGTCTGTCTGCCTGTCTGTTTTCAACATAGAACTTTGCACCGATGTGCAGCAGTTCAAGTCGCCACACTCCCTCTTTGTAGCACACAAAGCAAGAGAAGAAAGTAGAAGAAATGCATAATAGAGACAGTAAACAGGGATATGAGACAAAAGGAATAGTAATAACGAAGAACAACATAGTTTCATTGGAAATTATAAGTCACAAGGAGTGGATGCATCTGCGCCAGCCATTGACAACGACGATTTCGAGCCATATCATCGATTGTCTCCAGCCTGCATTGGATTTACCGTCCCGAGGACCCCAACCAGTCAGGAAGTCTACACCTCCCTGCGTGACTGGCTGGCTTAAACTAAATGTTGTGGATTTCATTGACTGATGAAGCCATGTTTTGGTTTGACCACCACTAGCAGTTCTTTTCCAACCTGATCAATCCTGTCAGCTAACATTGCCGGTCAGTCGAGGAAGGCGATGACAAGGCATACGTAATACATGTCCTAACTATCTCAGTCGATGTAGCTTCACAACCTCGTCTATTGATTTCTTCTCCCTCTTTACCTGGCACTCGACCAATCCCTAACCTCAATATTGCTCACCCTATTATACCACTACCTAACACAGGGGAGATAGAACGCAGGCACCTATGATCAAAGACAGCTAGTCTTTTCATGTCTTCCATTCTCAATGGCCATAAAGCAGGACGGAACGGACTGCTGAGGAGTACACTCGCCTTTTAGTCGATAGCCAAATATCACGTCTACGCCGGAGATGGCGTAAACTGGCATATGCGAAACTAGCCCTCTGTATCCATTCATGAATCAGCTGAACATTAATTTATGTTTCTACATAACTTGTATGATTATTATTATTATTATTTTATCTTCTGTTATACGGATGAAACGCTAAGCTCAAAAAAGTATTAGAACACGCACAACTTGAGCCCTAAAACCTTCACCAATATATCACTCATAGTGGAGTAAACTAAGCTAAACAGAAAGATGAGAGTAAATCATGAAATACGATTATCAGTTAGAGCATAATGAACAGCTGTTTCGCCCTAGTGTGAGACTCTTCAGCAGTGCATATCCGCGATTCCACCAGGGATCGAACCCGGGACCTTCATGTCATCAGACCAAGCTCGTGTGCCAGAATTTAGTAACCCGTGAATTATAACTTGTGTCACTTCGCTATTTTATGCGCCACTGCCAACCTATGTCATCGGTGGGAAGTATTTGTCCTCACAAGCAACCTGTTGGACTCCCACCAGTCAAAGCTTTTCACCAGAACTTCAGACAAATTCATCCTGTAGCCAGATTTTCAATGATTCCTTAAATTGATGTCAATCTATGATGAAAGCTGAAACTAACTGCACCCCTACAAACTAAATAACTTAAGTTATTATAATCCAATAACAATCTGGAACAAGGCAAAATGGATATGAATAGCAAACACGAAGGTTTGCATTCCCCTTTTGTTAAATGCCAGCATGAAAGATTGGATAAATCATCAGTGGATTTTGCTAAATTCATTATTGTTTTACACAACAAACCAACTTGAACTGGGACAGGGGGTAAAGACAAACACACACACACGCACGCACACACACACACACACAGCTTGTTCATCACTTTAGAAAGGATTGAATATTGACCAACATGAAACAGTTTGCCTATTTAGATTTTATAATTCTAAACAAAAATTAGTTAATCTACTAAATATAATCAATAAGAGAATTGAGTTGCCGTGGGGCGGGGGTGGTGGGGGAAGCAAAAGCATATGATGTATGAAAATATCAATCTTGAATTATGTCACACCAGTAGTAATGAGAATTCGACTGTCAGACAGGACAGAAACTGAATTAACTCAGTGAAACAGAGCGTGAAAAATTAGAAAAATAAAGAAAAGAAAAGAAAATGTGAGCATAGAGAAAAAAAGCAGTACCATTAAATGCAAATTAACATTGATTGCTTTTATTCAGTAGCCTGCTTTTTAGTGAACTGCGAAACAAATATATAGAATTTATTGTTATTGTGAGAGAGAACATTATGCAAAAACAAAAACGTATAATAATAGTTTTTACGTGCATAAATTTATATCTATATGTGGTGAAGACGACCAAATAATTCTTACAGGATTTCATTAGGAGCTGAAATCGGTTAGAGTACCAATGGAAAACCACTATGGAGTACTGGACAGTTGTTTCGTCCAAGTTTAAGGACTCTTCATCAGTACGCACCCACTGGTTTGTGAACTCAGGACCTTCCGATCACAAGATGAGCTCGTAAACGAATTAAATCCCTGAAAAACAACACTGAATACTGATCTGATGCTCACTAGCGACTGGCCTTATTCAGGCAGGTGGTTACCACCTGGATTCTAGTGAGCAGTCGTGACCAGTAGGGTACAGCAGGTCGGATGTGAGGACAAATACTGGCCACCGATGATATTGGCTACTGCCAGTCGCGCTATATCGTGAAATGACAGAAGTTGGGTCCCAGTGGCTTAATGGTCTACAAGCTCGCCTTGTAACCGAAAGGGCCTAGGTTCGAACCCCGATGGGAACTTACTGTTGGAGAACCCCAAACTAGGACGACGGAAACAGCTGTACAGTACGCCCAGGTGGTTTTCCAATAGTTCCCTAATCGATGTCAGCTCACGATGAAATCCTGTAACCAATCAAATCCCTGCAAACTAACACTGAGAGGTTTAAATAAAACATACAAACTATCAAACAAGACTATTTCGCTGAACAGAGGTGATGAAATGATTACCCAACCCAACAGCAGAAAGCATCAGCTACCATCGATAGGAGAAAATATTAAGGCAGTTACTTCTTTCATTTCACTTATCTTGATAGCATCAATCCAACTACAAGCGGTGGCACAGATGATGATGACGTCAAAGCCAGCTAGGATCGGGAAAAGACGACAGTTCTTTATTACTCTGAAATCAGTGTCGAGATCTGCTGCACTCAAGATAAGGAGCATGATCCGAATTCTTTTCAAGAATAATCTCAAGTTAATCAGTGCTTCCATGTGGTACAAAGACTTGAAACGCACGTCATGGAAGGCGTTTCCAACAGGCTAATGCAGACTTTCATCAACAGCTGCCGACTTCACCCCATACTCAAGATCAGATGGTGAGAAAGATTAGCAACAAGGAACTTTGTCCAACAAATATATATGCAGAAGGAAATAGAAATGGATTGAACATACGCTAGGGAGACCGTTGAATGACATTGCACACCAGGCATACCCTCAAGTGGAACCCCAATGGGAAATGATAGGTTAGACATAACCCTGAGAGCGGTATGGAAGAGATCGTGTAAGGAGGAAATAAAAGTTCATAGACAATCATGCAGCCAGCTAAAAAATACCGCATAGAACAGAGTAAAATGCAGATGTGCTGTTGATACTCTATGTTCCACTCAGAACACACGTGAATAATGATAATAATTATTATTATTGTGGTAGTAGTGTAACGACAGAAGACAAGAGCCAGGCAACAGATCGTCTGTTGAGCAAATCAAGAGATATTTATATATTTTTATATACATTATTATTCGTTATTATTAGCAGAGAAACAGCGTCTTCTGATTGGTCATTTTCTCACTGGAAGTTAATCTGTCATCTCTTTGTGGCCATTGCTTTGAAGGTCAGACCATATATCTGCGAATCGTATCCGCCCACGCAAAGTCTGCTGTGATTGGTTGTTGAGTTAGTCTTTGTTCTTGTTTTTTTTCTCATGACCAAGATTTGGGATGTAAACTTTGACGTAAATTGCTGTCTACCAATTTTGGCTAGCAGACAGCTCTCTCTCACCACAGTAGTAGTAGCAGTAATTAAAGATGTAACGCTGCTTAGTGTACAAATCAGTGACATGAGATGATAATTTCCATTGAAACTACTAAGTCTCAGCAGAAGAACGTTCTCTCTCTCTCTTCATGAAGTAATAATACTACAGTTGCATTCGCATAAATTAACTTAAGGAGAATATGGAAAAACATAACTCACCAATAGATGAATCCATCGCAGATTACCCATGCTAAGAGGATAATAGATAATAAATAGACAGCTGAATCACGCACCAATGGCCACCAATTAAGGTAAATCACCTATGAAATAGACAATAAAGTACACGCATTACAAAGCATTAGATATTATTATTTCTTGGGTTCCAAATGGAACATAGAGTTGCTACAGAACATCATCATTCCACCTTGTTCCCTACAGTCGTTTTTCTTTGACTGGCTACGCGATTGCCTGTAGGCTTTTACTTCCTTCTTACACTATGCCCTCCATACTGCCCTCAGATCCATACTCACATATAGCCATTTCCCATTCAGGTCTACCTAGCGTATAATATCACTTGAAAATGAAATTAGCAAGAGTACAATATAAATGAAAACAGGACTAGCCAACCAAAATGAATCATTACTGATCAGCAAAAGTTGCTTCTTTTTTTCTCTCGCTCCTTTGCATATATATCGCTGGTCATTAATTATTTATTACTTTACTTTTTGACTAAGAAAAGAGAAATGAAAAATTATAAATTAATCATCAATAGTCAACAATTTTATGCAGTGAAGTGCAATTCAGCAGACACGTACACGTACACCTTTCACCCTTCGACAGATTCTAGAACATAGGCATTCCTACCGGCGTCCAACAATCATTATATTTCTTGACCTAAAGGCGGTATTCGATTCTGTCGACCGAGAGGTTCTCTGGCGATGCTTGGCTGTAAAGGTAATGCCGAGAAAATACATTGCACTGATTAAGGCACTCTACTCGTACTCATCCAGCCTGGTGAGGGCTTATGGCGAGTTGTCATATGAAGTGGTGACGACTAGTGGCGTCCGTCAAGGATGCCCATTATCCCCATTCTTATTCAACTTCATCAAAGATGTACTAATGGACTTAACCCTAACTCACTTCAGAACTCAGAGATTGACTTGCTACCACCAAGGAATAATCTCGTCGACTTAGAATATGCAGACGATATAGTCCTTCTAGGCGAGGACGCTGACAAAATGCAGAGTCTACTGAACACCTTGAGTAACAATCTTCGCATGTTTGGCATGCGATTCGCCCCTGTAAAATGTAAGGTGATACTGCAGGATTGGACCACACCGACCCCTAGATTAGAAATAGGAAGTGAAGTGGTAGAGCACTTGACCGCTTACTTACTTGAAAGTACCATCAGTCCAACGGGTTGATCTCCGACGAAATCTCGAAATGGTTGGAAACAATTGGTGACATGGGTCAAAATCGTTGTCAGTGGCGCACAGGCATCCACTCCTTGTGACTTATGATTTCCAATGAAACTGTTTTGTTGTTCGTCATTACTATTCCTTTGTCTCACACCTCTGTTTACTGTCTCTATTATGCATTTCTCCTACTTTCTTCTCTTGCTTTGTGTGCTACATGGAGTGTGGCGACTTGAACAGCCGCACATATGTGCAAAGTTCTATGTCGAAAACCGACCGACCGACCGACGTACACGCACATCTATACAATTAACGAGACAGTGCTACACCGCCATAGTGATAATCTAATAGTTTGAAAACATTAAACAGTTGGTCAAACAACTTTCGGTAACTCATGTAGAGACGTGGCTAATTGGCTTAAGCTATTCAGCTTCAGATGATGAGTCACACACAGGTTCGAGTCGCGCTCTACCTACTTCAGCCTGGAACTGAATATTATAATAAGCCTCTTAGTCTGGCACATAAAGTTTGTCTCAAGTAAATGAGTTCAAAGTAACATTTAATTTGAGGATATACATCGATTCTTATTTTTCTGGAGTGTTTCTTTAGGTGTAAGTGTGTGTGTGTGTGTGTGTGTGTACTAGACTGAAATCAGGATAACACAGATGTCTTGAAGTAATAAGGTGATGACACAACTAGAGACAACAACAACAATAACAAAACTTTGCCTGATTAATTTACCTTCTTAATATTCTAAATAAATCTTTCTTATTAAGATGAAAAGGAGATAACACTATTTATTGTTACAATTATTATAGACATGAGGAGATTAAAGATAGGCTATTAACTGTGTTGTGTTTTCTATACATTCGAAAATTTGTTTTTAGGGTAGATTTTGTAACTTGTTTAAGAGGATTAAATCGACAAGTTTATCAAGTAGTTTTAATAAGAATCAACCAACTCTATCTTAATGCAATCAATTTAATCAATTAATATCCCAGTTGTATAGAGACTACAGTGGTTATATGTCTTTCGAAATTCACGATCAGGATAGAAACTGTTTTTTGCAACTTGTAGAGCTGAGGCGTATTGATTTAGGCTCTCGACTTTCAATGTACTGAACCACAGATTCAAAACACGTTTCATCACTTGCCGAAGTTTGGGTGGCCAAGTGGTATCATAAGCCTTCACACACACACACATAATAGCTTTGGTTTATTGCTAACAGAATGGAAATGCGAGTGATTATTGAGATATGTATAACAACAATTGATAAAAACAACTTGTTAGCACGGTGAGATCGAGTTTGGAACTATCGATTCCAGTAGGAGGGAGTTATTATTCCACCATTGAGTTAGCCTGCTACGGCGTTTAAATACATGGAATGAGCGTAAGGCAAACAATCAATTCTAAATTTCAAAATATCAGTGTTAACAGCAGCACACTGTAAGATAACTATAATAGGTTAGGCGAAAGCTAAAGAGACATTCAATGGATAACGACAACTCATGTCAACAATTGCTATACCAGAAGGCTTCTTTGACTTGGTCTTCGGTTTGATGGCTTTGAAATTGGCTTCAGTTTTTTTTACTTTTGCACAACTTTGAAGATACCATTCGCATCCTTGTCGTTAGTTCCAGCTCTGACTAGAATTTCTTTCTCTTTATACCCCCTACCCTGGATGATGAAACATCGAATATTCTAGGCAAATTTCCCAACGACACACTTGTAGTTTGTGGTAATGAACTTCATGACATTACGAAGTGAATTACTAATTTAGATATAATGGAGAAGATTTGTAGCTCAGGTGGATGATTTTGGTGTGGTTGTGTTCTCTGAGCTGGATGGTTTGGTTGCGAAGCTTTCATTGCTCTAATGAGCAACATCTTCAGCGCATACTTCGATGTGAAGTGAGCTTTTAGAATTCTCTATGAGTTTATTAGTCATCTCTTCTAGTAACCTTGAACGTGATTGGTTGTTTTCGTGTGACATTTCATCCCCTAGTTTCCTTGTCTCGGTGCTGGCTGCTTCTTTGGTCTGAATGTCGTTAGTCATTCCTTCTGCTAACCTTGAACGTGATTGGTTGTTTTTGTGTGACTTCTCACTTTCTAGTTCACTTGTTTTGGTGTTGACTGTTTCCTTGACCTGAAGTTTGACTTTGTTTTTGTGTGAATTTCTTCGTATGGATTGGTATATTTTGTCAATCTCTATGTGTCTATTGATTGCTGATTCATTTGAATACCAGGCCTCTAGGAATTCTCTGGCATTTTTGCAGTTCCCTTTGTCTAAGATTTGAACATTGTCCCAGTCGAATTGATGCCCGTAGTTGTCTGCATGTAGTGATATGAGGGAGTGTATGTCGTGTCTTTTGACAGCTAGTTTGTGTTCGTGAATGCGAAGATGAAGAGGGCGTCCACTTTGACCAATGTAATGTTTGTCACAGTCGTTGCAACTTATCTTGTAGATGACGTTAGTTTTGTCTTCTTTTGCCGTTGAGTCCTTTGGTTTACATAGAACTGAGTGAAGTGACTTTGTTGGTTTATGAGCGACATCGATTCCAAAAGGTTTGAATAGTCTTGCAGTGATTTCGGAGATATCTTTTATATATGGTAGGACGACTTTCTTTGTGTTTTCGCTGGTGGCCTTTGATTTGGTTGGTTGAGCTGGGGGTAGATGTCTTTTGATGAAGTTTCGTGGGTATCCATTTCTTTGGAAGACGTCCATAAGATGATTTTCTTCAATTTTCCTCAAGGCGGGAGTGCTACAATGAGTCCTGGCTCTCTTGAACAATGTACGTATGCAGCTAATTTTGTGTGATGTTGGGTTGTTACTGTTGTAATTGAGTATTTGATCCGTGTGTGTTGGTTTTCTGTATACTTGGGTTTCTAATTTTCCTGTAGTTGTTCGTTTGATTAAGACGTCTAAAAATGGGATTTTGTTTTCATATTCTTCTTCTCTTGTGAATTTGATGTCGTTGAAGGTGTTGTTTATTATGTTTTGGGTGTTGTCTAAGTTTTCTCTTTTGATTATCACGAATGTATCATCTATGTAGCGTATCCAAATTTTCGGTTTGATCTTTGGCAGAATTATGTTTTCCAGTCTTTGCATGACGGCTTCCGCAATCAATCCTGATATGGGTGATCCCATAGGTGTCCCTTGAATTTGTTCATACATTTGGCCGTTGAATTGGAAATAAGTTGTGAGACACAAGTTTATGCATTCCATCCAACTTGAATGCTGCATTTTTGATTGTTGTATGTGTTCATCGTTGTTGAGTAGTTGTTCCATGGTTTCTTTTGCTAGTTTTAGTCCAATCGAAGTATATAATGCCGTGACGTCGAAGGATACCATTATTTCTTGGTTGTCTATTTCAATGCCTTTGATTTTCTCTAAAAATTGGGTCGCAGATTGGATGGAGTGATCACATGATTTCGTCAAGTGTTTCAGTCTTCTGTATAGTTCTTTGGATAAATTGTATGTTGGGGTTCCTGGGAGTGATACGATTGGTCGTAGAGGTATATTTGGCTTGTGTATTTTTGGTCTGCCGTAGAATCGAGGTATGACGGGTCCATTGGATTTCATTCGCCGTTGATCTTCTTTTGTGATCTGACCCGTTTTGGTGAGTTTGCTTAGGGTTCTTTGGATTCGGTTGTTTAGTGTTTCGATGGGGTTTGTTGTTAGTTGTTGGTATATTGTTTGATCTTTGAGTAGTTCTTCCGCTTTTGCAGTGTATTCTTCTTTGTCCATGATTACTGTAGTCCTTCCTTTGTCAGCCGGTACTATAACGATATCTTTCCTGTTTTTCAGTCTTTTGAGGGCTTTTTGTTCTTGTGAGTTGAGTTGTGTGTGTCGTTTTCTTTGTTTAACTATAGGCACTATTGTTTGACGTATCTCGTCTTGTGTTTCTTCACCTAATTTTGATGATTTGAGTGTTGATTCAAGAGCAGCGAAGAAGTCTGTTTTCGAGGCGTCTTCAGTGTTGTAGTTTAATCCCTTTTGAAGTAGTTGTTGTTCCATTATTGACAGCGGCTGTTTTGATAAATTGACTACGCAATCAATTGGTGTATTGTTCGGCTGTTGTTTTTTGATTTTGGTTAGCTTGGTTCTGAGAACTTTTCGTCTACGTTCTCTGTGTCTACTACTTGTCAGTGCGATTGCGGTGATCATTGTTGAAAGGTGTTCTTGGCTGAGGATTTTCTCTAGTTTCTCTTTTTCAAGGTCCATTATTTGTTGATATTTCTTGATTCTATAATGTGCATCTGTAATCATCAGTTTAACCATTTTTCTTCCACATTGTTCAGCTAATTTCCATCCCATTGGGCAGTTGATTGGTGGCTTATATCTCACGCTGGTTGGTAGAATTTGATGACGAAGGCACTCATGGAGAAAAAATAGTTGTTCTCTGGTGGATGCTTGCCGTTTGGCGAAGTCTTCCCACTTTCGAACAGAAAGAAGCGTGTTCCGCTCGTATGATTTAGATATAATGGAGAAGATTTGTAGCTCAGGTGGATGATTTTGGTAGTAGTAGTAGACAAGTAGTAGACACAGAGAACGTAGACGAAAAGTTCTCAGAACCAAGCTAACCAAAATCAAAAAACAACAGCCGAACAATACACCAATTGATTGCGTAGTCAATTTATCAAAACAGCCGCTGTCAATAATGGAACAACAACTACTTCAAAAGGGATTAAACTACAACACTGAAGACGCCTCGAAAACAGACTTCTTCGCTGCTCTTGAATCAACACTCAAATCATCAAAATTAGGTGAAGAAACACAAGACGAGATACGTCAAACAATAGTGCCTATAGTTAAACAAAGAAAACGACACACACAACTCAACTCACAAGAACAAAAAGCCCTCAAAAGACTGAAAAACAGGAAAGATATCGTTATAGTACCGGCTGACAAAGGAAGGACTACAGTTATCATGGACAAAGAAGAATACACTGCAAAAGCGGAAGAACTACTCAAAGATCAAACAATATACCAACAACTAACAACAAACCCCATCGAAACACTAAACAACCGAATCCAAAGAACCCTAAGCAAACTCACCAAAACGGGTCAGATCACAAAAGAAGATCAATGGCGAATGAAATCCAATGGACCCGTCATACCTCGATTCTACGGCAGACCAAAAATACACAAGCCAAATATACCTCTACGACCAATCGTATCACTCCCAGGAACCCCAACATACAATTTATCCAAAGAACTATACAGAAGACTGAAACACTTGACGAAATCATGTGATCACTCCATCCAATCTGCGACCCAATTTTTAGAGAAAATCAAAGGCATTGAAATAGACAACCAAGAAATAATGGTATCCTTCGACGTCACGGCATTATATACTTCGATTGGACTAAAACTAGCAAAAGAAACCATGGAACAACTACTCAACAACGATGAACACATACAACAATCAAAAATGCAGCATTCAAGTTGGATGGAATGCATAAACTTGTGTCTCACAACTTATTTCCAATTCAACGGCCAAATGTATGAACAAATTCAAGGGACACCTATGGGATCACCCATATCAGGATTGATTGCGGAAGCCGTCATGCAAAGACTGGAAAACATAATTCTGCCAAAGATCAAACCGAAAATTTGGATACGCTACATAGATGATACATTCGTGATAATCAAAAGAGAAAACTTAGACAACACCCAAAACATAATAAACAACACCTTCAACGACATCAAATTCACAAGAGAAGAAGAATATGAAAACAAAATCCCATTTTTAGACGTCTTAATCAAACGAACAACTACAGGAAAATTAGAAACCCAAGTATACAGAAAACCAACACACACGGATCAAATACTCAATTACAACAGTAACAACCCAACATCACACAAAATTAGCTGCATACGTACATTGTTCAAGAGAGCCAGGACTCATTGTAGCACTCCCGCCTTGAGGAAAATTGAAGAAAATCATCTTATGGACGTCTTCCAAAGAAATGGATACCCACGAAACTTCATCAAAAGACATCTACCCCCAGCTCAACCAACCAAATCAAAGGCCACCAGCGAAAACACAAAGAAAGTCGTCCTACCATATATAAAAGATATCTCCGAAATCACTGCAAGACTATTCAAACCTTTTGGAATCGATGTCGCTCATAAACCAACAAAGTCACTTCACTCAGTTCTATGTAAACCAAAGGACTCAACGGCAAAAGAAGACAAAACTAACGTCATCTACAAGATAAGTTGCAACGACTGTGACAAACATTACATTGGTCAAAGTGGACGCCCTCTTCGTCTTCGCATTCACGAACACAAACTAGCTGTCAAAAGACACGACATACACTCCCTCATATCACTACATGCAGACAACTACGGGCATCAATTCGACTGGGACAATGTTCAAATCTTAGACAAAGGGAACTGCAAAAATGCCAGAGAATTCCTAGAGGCCTGGTATTCAAATGAATCAGCAATCAATAGACACATAGAGATTGACAAAATATACCAACCCATACGAAGAAATTCACACAAAAACAAAGTCAAACTTCAGGTCAAGGAAACAGTCAACACCAAAACAAGTGAACTAGAAAGTGAGAAGTCACACAAAAACAACCAATCACGTTCAAGGTTAGCAGAAGGAATGACTAACGACATTCAGACCAAAGAAGCAGCCAGCACCGAGACAAGGAAACTAGGGGATGAAATGTCACACGAAAACAACCAATCACGTTCAAGGTTACTAGAAGAGATGACTAATAAACTCATAGAGAATTCTAAAAGCTCACTTCACATCGAAGTATGCGCTGAAGATGTTGCTCAGTAGAGCAATGAAAGCTTCGCAACCAAACCATCCAGCTCAGAGAACACAACCACACCAGGAATTACTAATTTGATCTATTGCTGCCAACATTGTTGTGTTAATCACAGTAATTGCTGGAGGATGACTTGCTTTTACCTTCACCATGATGCCCTTAGATTTATTAACTGGTTCTACTACTAGTGAGGTTGTGATGGAGTTGCAATTTTGATTTTCCAAAAAGAGACGACATTGAAAACCAATAACAATGACTAAAACTAAACCCATAGTTTTCGCCTACCACTGTGGAAACACGAAAAATAATGTTTGACAATAAAACGAAGCATTTCATACATACATTAATAATTAAATGCAAATTTGTTGATTATGTACTGTGACTGTGAAAAAAAAATGAGAATAAAATACCTGTTTTGCGAAAAGTGCGCTCACACTGATGACCAACATAATGTTGAAGTCAGCAGAACCAACAACCGCTCCAAGACCAATATCATCCTACAAAAAGATTTTAAAAAATTGTAACATTGAAAAAGTTTTGCAAATGAAACACTTAGATCTAAAATTATTTGAATAAAACAGGTTTTGTATCGACTGAAAACTAAGGTTTAAATGAACAGTGACTCGTGTTAAAAGAACTTTAAGCTCCCTGAAAAATATGCAATAATTACATCATAAAGCGAGATTGAAAAAAACGCCCTTTCACCTTATAGCAATAATTTTGAAAAGGACATGGTAAGGAACCTTATATTATATGGAGGTTAATAAGATCGATGTGGCTGTTTCCAATCTTAAGAGATGAAGAAAACTCACTGGTCAAATCACGTCTCTATGCTACTGAGTCATTATTTCACTTACAAAGGTAATAAAACGTCGAATTGCTTTAAAGCAACATGAATATATACAAGATAGAATTCACAAGTTCATATAAGTTAATGTAATATTAAAAAATTAAAAATATTGAACGGTTTGAATGACGACAGCTGAGGAAGCCACAATAAGTTAAATATGACTAAAGTAGACAAATGGGACCTAAAAAATTAAGAAAGAATAGATATGAATAGTCGGGAACTGTTTAGGACCATTACTCTCACCAATCCTGACACATTTTGAAATATCAACAATCTATCATACAACAGTGAGTGATTACGCTTTATCTAACGGTATTTTTATGAGAAGATATTTGAGAAGCATGCGAAAATTAATTTAACCATTTCAACCAACAAAAAACAGCAATTTAATCTATCAGCCTGTTTCAAATTTAGTTTTATTATTGCTGGTCTTGATAAAAACAAAAGACGTAAAGAGTATTCAGGGATTTTCGTTTGTCAGATAAAAATAATGATAATTCTTATTTGTCAGATTAGAGCGACTATACCCCATGACTATAAATTGAAAATTAAAAGTTATAGTCTAAGTCGCTCGAGTAAAAACAGAATTGAAAAAGATTTGTAAGCCGTTTACATCTCCTGGTTACCAACACCAGGAAAGATGATCGCTTGCTTATTGTACATTCACTTTTAGGTCCCAGTGGATATCTATTTGAAATCTATCAAATGTTTAAATGTAACCGACTTCATTGACTAAACGAAAGACTTCATTGAGAAGGCAAGACGACAGTAGTGTAAATCATAGTGTGGAATTTTAATGTCAATTTTATTCTCATTGTTTGCTCCCCAGTACTGAGGAGTTTATCTGGACTGCTGGTAGTTCATAGGAAACAATTTACCATTGTCACATACACTCCATTAGCAAGTAGCACGCTCTGTCAGATCTCCCCCATAGTTAACTAATTACATCACAACAATAGTTGACTTTCATCCTAACATTAACTAGTCAACTTGTTTGCTTTGATAAGACTCAAGTGAGAAATACCTTTTCTCTAGCATAGTTTGTGAGATAATTGTGATATCCAAAGCCAATTAACACTTGCATAAGTCAGCTCAAGAGCATTATGAAAACTCCTGGCAAGTACAAAAACACCAATTAGCATCAACAAAAAAAAAGAAAATATGCGAAAGAAACTAAGGTCTTGGTTAAATTCTTTTGCCTTCTAAATTTCTAAATGGGAATTTTCGTCACATCGAATAAAAGCCCTACTGAAAACTTGTGATCTCTTGATAAAGTCCACATCCGATGGTTTTCGTTATAGCCAGTGTGTGAAGTACAGCTGAGTGATTCACAGTATACTCAATTGATGAATGGGCATCCTTTTCATATTTCAAAGCCTATTTTATTTGTTTGGAAGACTGAAATTATCTTGATTAAATTATGAAATATAATGCTACAAAAACCATTTGGCGAAGCAGTCAGTTGATAAATAATAGACTGAAATGTATAATTATTCACCTGTGTGATAAGACTAAATACATCCTTTACGCCACTCTCAAACATTCAACTGCTAAAATATTATGCTGTCTCATTTATCTATGTTCCAATATTACAAAGAGAAGCCAGAAGGGGTATTCTCATGATGGCCAACGTGCCAATTATATACATATATATGCATATATATTGACCACATATACTGCTTGGGTAATCGAGTATCTCTCGTTGAAGACGACAATGGAATCACTTAAGAATTAGAAGTTTTAAACGTATCACTACTCATTTATAACACTCATAAACAATTTGTGTATGTTGTATTAATTATATAAGTTACAAAGAGACTAGCCAGAATAATCGTATCGTCGCAAGCTTACCACATTAAAGTTATCAATTCTCATAAACAATGGTATCAAAAACAGGAGCACTTCTAACACACTTAAGCTATTTAGAGGTTGGAATAAACACATCGGAGCAGTGCCTTACAAATGATGGAACAAATCATTTTCCACCATGTCAAGGGCAGTTAAAATTTTATTTACATGAAAATAGGCCGAATAAAAGAATTCATTTGAGGGGAAAAAATCATTTTTCTTACCTTCGCGATGAAAACTCCAACTAAAGTGGTTGCCAGTTCAGGAGCAGAACTACCAGCAGCCATAAAGGTTGCCCCAGCAACATCTGGTTGGAGATTTAGAACTATGGAAAAACTGTGATATAAACCTCACAACAAACCTTCACAAATCCTCTCCAAACCAGGAATGAAGTATTCATCACAAAGTAGTGCAAGGCCAACAAACATATATATCGAGACAAAGAAGTGAATTATAACCGCTCCGTACTGCCGCTGAGACTGAGTGAATACATCTTTCGGAAAGTTATCAATAGCTAGTGGAGTACAGTTCATCGACGGGGGAGGACGGACAACTTGTATTCCCATCAATTTCCTGTTCACCCATGAAGCTTGAGCATCCATTTGGTGAAACGATTGATCAGATATGCTTGCAGACAACGTGTAGTCGTTAACATAAGCGGATCTACCACTGTGTGAATAAAGGTAGAGTGAGGCGAATTTCGTAAAGCCAAACAAAAAATAGAAACCCAAAATGAGTAATCGGCGCTTTAACAAATGCTTCATAGTTATCATGATGCGAGCTAGAATATGTAATACAGTTTAAAATAGACAGATAATTTTGACACACAAGTTTGTCAAGAGATGTATAATAGTCGTTTTGACTGTGAAATATCCCCAGTTCGCATCACAAAATTCCGACACTTTGAAGTCGCGAACAAATAAACAGCAAGATTAACAAGCCGCCTCAAAGCAAGGGTAAGGCGTAGTGCATTATAAGAAAGCTAACGTCTAATGTTTCCAATATGCAATGTCGTCTTTATCAGCTGGTACAGGCCACATTGATTTCTTTGTGCTTGTTTCTTGGTTGTAAATTAAACGTTCCTGGTCTTCGGTAAACTTCTGCCTAGTGTGTCTCACCACTCTGGGGAGAACTGTGTTGGGATTAATTATATGTGGTTTGTAGTATGCGGTGCATCAAAAATTTTCGCTTCTGTGAGCGGAGTTAGTCCTTCCGCCTGCTAGCCATCACGCATGATCGAAAAGAGAGATAATAATATTAACTGAGAAGCAGTAAAAATAGATACAATTGGTCCACTATAGATTAGATTTTTTTGACAAGTCATACAGTATTGTACAATAATATTGACTGATTTACCAAAATAAAATCTTATCTTTAATGGAATCACACTCCATCGCAGTGCCCACGTTTTACACTTATATCAATAAGATATAATTGGCGTTGATTATGTAGACTTTAAAAGAAAATCGTACAAACAGGTAAATAGTGAAACTCCGTAATTAAAACATAAAACATAAAAATATCAAAATCAGTGAGCGAACAGACAAGGCAGTCAAAAGAATGACACAGGGGAGAATGGGAAATAGTAAATGATGAGTTTAGATGTATACCCATTAGTAGTACGTGAGTCCTAAGGTGGTAGACCATTTGGACGCAGTCTGAGTGATTGTCCAGCCTCCCCTTAAAGTTGTCCACGGACACTGCAGTGGCCATACTTGCTGGTAGAGACTTCCAGGGACGGATAACTAGAAGAGAAGAGGGGTGGGAACGCACACGAATCTTTCTTCTCTGATGTGCTATTCCTTGTGGCAGTCCACGAGGATGACCACACTTAATGGAGGAGTACCTTCGTTTCGTCTCTTGTAAGCAGTAATTAAGTTACGCTTGATCCTGCTGTAGTTAAGTGTGGAAATTCCTAGTTTTTTTAGCCTTTCATCTAATAGTTTATTCCGTCTTTGCAAATTAAAAAGACTTCTTTCAACCCTCCTAATAGTATCAAGGTGACGATTCCTGATTTTCGGGTGACCATTCGTGACACTACATACAGTGGTTGGGTGGCTTCCAAACCAGGAAAAGTTGTGTGTAAAAAGACCCAGTCACTACGTTTTTTGTCGAATAGATCACCATGAAATCCCGTCACCCACTTCCCCTCCCTTTTGGCACCGTTTTCAGATACATGTCTAAGAAACGGTGGATGGATGTTTGATTACGCTTCAAGGTGATATGACACGCAGGTTTCTTTGAACCCTCCAAGAATCTCTATCATGAGTGTAACAACTGCCTCCCCCTGAAGTAGAGAACAGAGTATGACTTGACCAGAACACATTGGAAATTCGCTCTTATAACTTTGGTTTTCATTAGGGTGAGGGTTACGTTGAGCTGTGATGCTGGGAAAGATGCAGCAAGTAAGTTACCCCTTGGGTGTCAGGGTATGTAGATGAATATTTTCACTGTTTCGAAGCTGAATGAGATTCAGCGGAACTTCGCACGCCTCCCAAAGTATATACGTCTGCTTTCAGTTTACATGAGACTCGCAACCACATTATATCCCTCGATACACTTACAAAACTTGAATGAAGCTGTTCAGAAATCTAGGCAGGTGTCTGATGAGTGTAAAGGCCATTAGGGTATTCGCACAGAATCCGATAAATTTCAAAAGCTAGGTAGTGCTGAGTTGGACGCACACGATTCACGCTCATACACAATTCCTCTTCTTCAAAGTAATCCACACAACACAAGAGAGATGCGACGAAAGGGCTGCTCGACAAATTTTGTGAAAAGGATAGCACGCTGACCAGTGAAAATTTCCTCCACAAAATCAAGTAGAACCACGTTGACGGAGATACTCACATCCCATCATGAAATCCACGTATTCTATGTTAACAGCATGCCATTCCCACATGACACCCTTACGAGAAACTTCGCAGTGATCCTTGGAGTTTGTATATTGCCAGGTCAAATTCACGTCTAACAGTGTGAAAAAATATTTGATCTTTTGGTATGTAATATTCTTTATAATAAAAGTTTTGTATCTCTCAATGAATGAAAAACGAGACGATTTAATTAAAAGCCTGCTGTTCCAATTTTTCCCACACTTCAAAATCAGAAGTAGGATTTGCCGTGTAATCGCAGCAATTCACAGCACGTCACTCAGTAGACGTTAGATGTTTAATGAAGGACGAGACGGGCAACCAGAAATATACTATGCTTTTCTGATACTTTGTCGGATTTCTAATCTCTATTGAACTATTATGAATCATCAGTGCCTTTCCGTACGTTGGACCAGGCTCCCTCATTTCCATTGCACACTAACTTGTTAGCGAAATAAACGCTCCATATTAGCAGCTGTTCCCCCGCTCTGCACGTGATAGTAGCCAGCTGCCTTAAAATCATCTTGATCCAAGAGTAGGTCACTAAAGGCTCCTTTTCACCTCGTAGGGATTTATTCGCACCTTCGCGAAATAGTAAGATTCTCAGTATTTTACATGACGTAAATGCAAAGTGACATTTAAACTAAATTATTTCAAGATACATTTTGACAATTAAATTTAGGAAAACCACAACATATTTGCCGGATGCTTCTGGGACACCGGAATTCTAGCCGAAATGTGTGTTTCGTAGCAGCAAAATTTGTATGCCTAGCGCATTAACCATAATTACTGAAGCGACCAGCACTTTCCTGAATTCAAGTCAAGAACCTTGTTTTATTGCCGCACAATTTGTATTATTATTATTCTTTTGGGTTCTGAGTGAAATACATGGCTTCAACAACGCATCTCCGCTTGGTTCTATTCTCTTCTGTCCTTTCCAACCGGGTCCACGATTGCCTATAATCTCTAATCTCCTCTTCCCCAACACACGATCTCCTCCATGTCACTCCAGGAAGGGAGCCAGCGTAGGCAGCTGTTGATAGAAGTCTGTAACTCACTCGAAATCCTTTTCGTGACACGCAGTGCAAGTTTCTGACCAATATATAAGAACTGACTGACTTCACATTTGTGCTGAAAATTTGAATCCTGTTCTTTATGCTGGCTTGGTGCAGAAGATTTCCAATTTGGTTTCAGGCTGCTGAAGACTTATCTTGCCTTTCCGATTCTGCCTGGCTTTGTCATCTTCATTCGTGCTGTCCTCCTGTTTTTAAACCGTGCTTCCTAGACAAGTGAAGGAAGTAACCTCTATCAGATCTCCCCCGTTGGTAGTGATTGGTGACCCTTGTCGTTGCTGTTATTGGTTGGTTATCTTCATCGCCTCCGTCTTCTCTATGTTCGCCTGAAGTCCTGTCTTCGATGTCCGCCTCTTCTGCCAGTTTGTTGGTTTTCGTTTGAAAGTCTCCGAGTTTGTGTGACGTTAGACATATGTCAACCACGCAATCCAGATCTTCTAGAGTCTTCTTATCGGTCCAACGTATTTTCGCCTTCTCACTCTCACAGTCTGACGCATAATCCAGTCCGCCACAATTAAGAATATAATCTATGATAATAAGCAGTCATCTCTTACTCCTATATTTGCTCCAAACTCCTCGGAGACTTTTCTCTCTGGTCCACCTACCACGTGGTATTTTCCTTTAATCGAGGTTGATAATGATTTCGGGCACTGCACTTAGTAGTGTCGGTGTATTTTCCAAATTGCTTCCCGGTCAGTGCTATCGGAGGCCTTTCGAAAGTCGATGGGACAGAGCTAGAGAGATTCGATCGCCATTCTGTGCTCCGTTTGATTGTAATGATGGGATGAATTGCAAATTGGTCTACCTTTCCTAATTTCGCCTTGTTCCAGCCGGCAGAGTTCTGCACCCAGTGCATCTTTTGTTCTCTCCATAATGAGTCGACATAGAATGTTGCTTGGCGTGGACAAAAGCATCAATCCACGCCAGGTCTCGCAGGGGCCTAAGTCTCCTTTCTTTGGTACTTTTAGAAGGTAATCTTCTCATCAACAGGTATATCTTTCTCCTTCTAAAAGTTTCCAATGGTAGCAGCAGCATATCTGTTGCAGTCTCTGGGTCCATTTTCACCGCTTCCGCTCGGCCCGGCTGCCTTCATGGCTGGATTTCGGTAGCTTGATCCCATTCAAGATTTCTGCTTTCGTTGCAGGATTGGTGTCGACTGGCAGGCAGTTCCGTGCGTGCTGTTGGTGGTGGTGATACTTTTGGGCGATTTGCAGGTGATGATCGATTCAAGAGCCCTTTGAAGTGATCAGACCATCCTTTTATTTGTTACTCCTGCTTGGTTATCAGGCTCCCTTGAACATCTTTAATTGGTTTCATTATCTGGGTTGATCTCTTCCCTGACAAAGACCTGGTTATCTGATATGATGTCATGAGGTCTCCTTAAACTGCAGCCTGCCAGTCTTGCTTCAGTTGCCAGCCAGTGTGTCGCAGAATAGTCTTTTGTCTTTCCTAGCACTCTTCTTCACTTCTTTATTTAGTGCAGTGTACATAGAACCCAGTTTCTCCTTCTCCTGTCCATCATTGCATTAAGTCATATTCTCTTTCACCATCCTCCTCCCCCTCTTCCATTAGCTCTCAGGCATCCTTTGAGAGCTATTTCTTGTCTTGCCATCTCCCTCTTCGTAGAAGAGTTGTACACACTTCGTTGAACATCTACTTTAGATAGTAAATTACGATGTTCCTCCACACAGGTTTCCTCAGTCATGCCACATAGTGTCTTCGACTTTGCTCTAATGACTGCAATAAAGGTGTCTTTTTCACATTCACCCTTCGGTTTCAGAGTGTTGAACTCGAATTGTGCTTCTGAAGTTTTTCTGAAGTCTTTCAGCATCACCTTGAGGGTTCCTACAATTCAATAATGGTCTGAGCCCATATCTACTACACTCCTCGACTTTGTGTCCAGCAGGCTGCGTCTCCACCTCCTTCAGATTGAGGTGAATTTAATCTGGTTTGTGATGTGTCCGTTAGGCGAAATCCATGTAGATTTGTGAATATCCTTGTGCTTGTACGTACTACCTA